AAATAAAATCAAAATCAAATCAAATCAGTACGCCAAAGGATATAGGCGACGTACGGGTTCCCCCATCTTTCTCGGCCCCCTCGAATTTTCTGTCGATCCGTAAACTCATAACGGTACATAATTAAGAAAATGTTGTGAATTTTCTTTTGTTTTATACTTTGTCAACAAATCTTGAAACTTTGTATTATAATAACAAACAGACATTGCAAATGACTACAAGAAAGAAAAACTAATCGAACACGAAATAAAGATTACAATAACGGTGTTTCTAAATGTCTATTGCGGCCTTAAATATAAAATTAATTTGTTATTGTCATCAATAAACTATACATATTGCAGCGGAAGGTTATTACTCCATCACGTATACAGTTTGCACAATATCAGAAATCCGTAGAAATTCATGGAAAGTAGATCTCCCTATGATTATACACTAAAAGGATTAGTAGTATCATAATATATTTATCAGAAATTAATGATTTCTCAAAGCCAGCTAATCATTAGAACAATATTCAGTACGGAATTCATATACCATTTCATTACAGTTTGCGTGATTGTATAGAGCCACGATATAATTGAATTAAAGCTACTTCATAAAGTCGCCATTCATGAAAAAGAACAAAAAAGTCACTCAAATCTCACATTAAGGCGGAACCAACAAGAACACATCGAAATGCTAAGCTTTCCCAATTGGAAGGCCCCCTCACATGACAATGAACGGCGTTGAATGCAGTTGCAAAATTAGGTCGGCTATAAACAGAACAACTAATTCATGGCATTTAAGAAGAGCTATTTTTGGCTAGTCATATTTTAATAGGCTTCCGGTGTTGGCAGGCAAATCCTCCTCCTCAGCGGGTCACGTGAAAAAATAAATAAAAGAATTAAATGCGAATATCATAAATTATCCAGGAAGTTGTTATTTTACATACTATTCGTTTTGTATTTTCTTCGTAGGCCTAGTTTTCTTTTTTTAATTGCATTGTTGTCTTTTGAAAACATGGTTTTATTTCTAGATATTGTTCCCATGATAGTGTGTCATGTAATCGTATTTTTTGTTGATAAGCACTTTTTGACAATGAAATAGCCTGTATTGATTATCATAATCTATCATGATTAATTATTCTATTTTAGGAGCAAAAGACAAAGAGATTTGGATGACAATGCCTAAATCAAAAGATTTATTTAATATTACTATCAAACTAACACATGTATATTACAGAGTATTTTAGAGAGAGGGGAAGACAGATGGAGATAGAGAGAGAGAGGGGAGAGAGAGAGAGAGAGAGAGAGAGAGAGAGAGGGGGAGAGGGAGAGGGGGAGGGGTAAGTTGACTAAAGGAAACCAAGCATTTATTTCAGGTAGAGCCTTTGAATATGCAGCGGAATAGAGTCACAGAGAGGGGAGCACATTCTCTCTTTCCCCTTTCATTCACAATGCAACCCTCACGAGTGAAATCAAATAGCAATGACGACGACACTATCTTCTTCTTTTTTATTATTCAGCCAAGGAATAGGGGAGTAATTGTTTGTATTGAAAATAGTAACGATAATTTGCGTTCTAACCTTGAGGCGGGGGCGGGGCGGGGGCGTGTCGTTTCATTTCACACATTGAATACATAGATCATTTCACTGACTGTCTTCCCTTCGAGAGCTAATCATCTCCTGTCAGATTGGCTCACCTCAAGCGCTAGTAGATCGCTTATCATGAGGTTGAATGACTTCTCTAATATATATTTGGTTTTCCCTTTCATTCACCGAGATACATTCAGCTCCTGTTTCTGACAAACCAAGAAATTCAACTCAATGCACCGTTACCTATTCAAGATGCACTAACTAAGTCTTATACTTAGCATGAGAGAGCAAATATAGGCAGATGTACACCTGAACAAAATCATGCAAAAATGCTATCTAGTCACTTTGGGAGAATCTAACACGCGTTCAATGTTCTTTGTCAATCTACTCTATAAAGATTACTCGCTCGTAAATCATACAACCGGTCCGAGTTGTTGAATTAATCCGCAGTGGTAGAATGTTCAAAACAATTTTATATATACCTTCCCTGAAATTACTCTCTTACAAATAATTTCCAACATTGAGTCAGCACATCTGTAATGTATACGTACCCCAGACAACATAGATTAATAAATTAAAATATCAAATTAGTACGAGGACAACATATCATTTATCGGAGTATCAAGATATTTATGAAAATGGTAAATATCAATATCGTAGTTTTATTACGTACGTTGGCTGTTTTGCAACAGACCAAAATATGAAAAAGCACCAAGTGATCTTGAAAGTCGTCCTTAAAGATTTTGTGGAAAACATTAAATGATTTTCCAACAAAACTTTGGATTGTGGATGTCTCGCTTACTATACTCTCTTTTTTTTTTCTTTTTTTTTTTCATTGTTAACTGAATGATCTAAAATAGCTATTCGAATGAATCTACTATTTGTTTTTATTAGTCTTCTTCGATCGTCATCTTACACTTCTACTTATACTAAAGATTCTCTTGCGTGGGTAAACTTTTGTTACAAAATTACTTTCTTTATTCATTAATGTTCAATCCATTAATGGTTTCTGCTAAGGTGTCGTACGATTTCCCATTACTAACTTTATTGTTACGTCACAAACAAGCTTCCGATCTTCAAGAAAGATGTTGATTGTTATCCAATACAACGGCATTAATGTTTACGCAGGTCTAAATCCTTTCCATCAAGTAGTTTTGATGATTCTTTGAGTCCGGACGCAAGCTTCCTTTTTTTGTCGTTATTAATTTTATGAAAAGCATCGAAATAAATCTCATTATTTATGTTTCACTCGTCATGATATAGAAGTGTTATGTTTTTTTTAGCGAATTATAACAGATTGCGGACAAAAACTCTTTGTATTATAAGTGGTGATGCGAGTTTTCATTATTTTGAAGGAGTTTTATTAATTAACTGTATTCTTTACTCGCCGTGAAGATGAAAAGGCCCGTTTATTAAATTTAATGCTCCGTTGAATTGATTGCAAAAGGTGTAATGGAGTGTTGTCATATAAGACATAACAATAATGAACTGTTTCGACAATCAACAAAAGGGAATAGATTAAGTCTGGTTTCGTCAAGAGGAAACCCTGAGAATGTACTTCAGTTTCTTTTATATGGTATTATTTTAAAAGAAATCTTTTAAAAGACATGATAATGTAGGAGAAAAGAGTCAACGTAACTACAATAACGCCTGTTGAAAACTTTATTGTCATTGACAAAAGGGATGAAATCCCACCAACGCATTATTCACTAAAAACTTAGCAAGCTTCTGTATTCAAACCAAATTTGCCGACAATGACTAACTTTGCTCACATGACCGCGCCCCAAAGCGGTGAAACAATGATAGGTGATACAAATGTGGCGGCATTTTACAAAAGAAATGGACAAGAAGAGGAGAATAATACTTCAATTGTGCGGGGGTAGGTACGGTGAATGGTTAAAGTAGATTGAGAGTAGGATAACTGTCAGTCTGTGAGATTTCGCTAGTGCTGTTCGGTCACGGTGGTCCCTCATTTTGTCTTTTCTTGGAGACAATATTTATTGTGTCATTTGACGATAATTTACAGCGTTACTATCGAAGCATCCGACCATCTGACCAACGTGGGGTATCTCTTATAACGGTGAGTTGCAATTGTCCTACATTTTGTCATTTCCCCCGGCACTATCATTTTACATTCTCACACATGAAGATTGATGATTGTAAACATACTATATAAGTGTAAACTATGTCGAAAATATGTGAAATAGTATTTTGAAAAAGTCAAAACAAAAGGACAATTTATTCAAATTTCTACACTTGCGTTCTATTTTTGTCAGTTTGTAATGATTTTTGTGTTATCTTAACCAACAGGAATTCTTAATGATTCATAATGTGTCACATTTCTTTTGTTTTTACCTATTCTAAACTTGGCTACTGCCCCAATTTCGTGTTCATAGAAATATATAGAGGAGAGTGGATGAGAGTGAAAGAGAATGATGGGGACAACGAAAGAGAGAGAGCGAGAGATGCCTACAAAAATATGTTTGGTAGCGTTAACTTTTTTTTTTAAAGTTCATATTTTATTTGACGAGTCAGAATCCAACGCGGGAGGCAATTTTTCATGATTTTAAGACCAGAAAGTTGAATAGTTTCAAACACCCCCACTGGCAATGTTTAATTCAGGTGACACGATATATCATTATTTTCCTTCTCTGTAGCTGACATCTGATTCATTTTGAAAATTGTAGTTTGGGTTTGATAATATCGAACTCTCCTTCAGAAACGTGATATTTTGTAACAAGATTGCAGATAATTGTGTATTCATAATCAATCCCTATCATAATGAGATTAAGCGATGTACGGGCCTTTATGTTTTAAACTGAGTCTGAAATGGCCACTCTTGTTTTGAAGTGTTTATTACAATAATTTATAGCAGACTTGTTGACGATGCGTTATATTTCAACAATATGCATTCATTTTGGATAATATTTAAAAATTATTACTGCATCGGTTTTTTTTTTACTAATGATGAGTATGCTAATTTAGGTATTTGATATTTTCTTATTTTGTCATGATGATTAAGGAACTGCGTTTCAAATAATTTGAATTTAAGTGCTCTGCTACATCCGATCATTTCAGTCTGTGCTGCTAATATTTGTTTGAATACGCCAGTAAATAAGTAAAAGGACGAACACAATTTTTATACAGATCTCATCTCATAACGATTTCTAGTTTGTGCGCACGATCAAATATTCCATAGCTACATACTTTAAAGTGATGAAGAAAGGGCATTAATAGTTGTTTTTTTTTTAACAAGATTGCTGTTAAACAGTTTTTATTGATAAAATTTAATTGTCAACAAAGTTGTGCGAACAAAAAAGAAGAATAATATACGTTGCCATAAACATGATCAACTAACGAACACGCATACCTTTAAACCTGTCAGACTCACTAGAATACTCTCTCCTTTTAGTTAACTCGTGGTTTCGCGTGGGCAGACCAATAAAATGTGTCTGGATAATGATAACAAGGTATTGGAGGTGATTAAGCGCTGATTTTCAGATACAAGCCTGCCGTTTCTTGTAAAAGTGTGTCCAGTAATTAATGGCATCATGACGATATCCTGCTCCTTTAAATGGATGATCTAAATTTAGTACAGATTCACGTTCGATTGACAAGCGACACGCGTTGACACCTGTTAGGAGTTCAAATTAATGACCATTGTTCAACTCGTTACGGTTTACACATCTCCAGCCAAAGAGATCAGGAATTTTTCTACCTATGACTGGATCAATTTAATTCCCCAATGATCATCAAATCAGTATCAGTGATACTCGTGATCATCATCATAAGTGCCTCGAAGGACGCGTTCTCATGTTCTTTTACTACTCAAAGTCAACGTTTATTATTCTAACCTTAATTACTGCATAATCAATGAAGTTTGGATGAACGAGTTAAAACTTTTGGAAGCAGATTTATTCTTCGCTCTATATGGAAACATTTGGAAAGTTTGCGAGCAAATCTGAAGAATTGACAGTAAACTAGTGAATATACATCAGGGTCAACTGTGGTATCTGTTATTGTTGCTGCTAATTTTGATGAGTATCAATTGTTTTATGACCCGAACAATGTATCGGACTATTTATGAACAATACAAATCTTGCAAATGAACAGTAAGTGGCCTTTGGACATCATTCTGGTCAAACGGCTTGCATCAACAGCAGTGTGTTTTGATATATTTCTTTTGAGAAAATAAAAATTAAATCCTGTAATTTCTGGATCTCCGATCAATAAACCAAACAAACGCTGTTTGTAGAATGGATTTAATGACTTAATCATAATGATGTACAGAGACATCTAATTCTGGTTGTATCCTACTGACGGCAATTAGTAGAAAAATAAAAGATAAGAAAACAAGAGTCGGAATCGTTCTATGCAGCCTTTAACTTCTTTTAAAAAATAACGCGGGAAGAAGACGACGCCACACAGCTTTGCATCTGATTTCTAGAGCGGGGAAAATCATTCGTCCGCACTCTCTCCGTCTTCTAAAATTTGATTGTCTAATCGGCTTTGAGAGTGCGAATTACGAAGTCTCAACGAACTCGACGATGGCGATGAGCATATTATTAATCTCATCATCGGCTGGCTGACATAGACGTGGGGGATGAACAACCGAACGACCTGCCTCGTGCCGGTATAACATCGAGGGTTTTTAGACGCTGGTATGTAATATTTTGAACGATTTATCATCTCGTGAAACGGCTTATGTTTATGTTCTCATGTTCACTTTGAGAGGATATTCTTAACCTAAGACACAATTCCCTAAGAGTCTCAGGAAAAATAAGCTGGAATAAGATAAGAACGATTAAAAAAACAAACACACCTTACAAATCAAATTAGAGCTGGTCCATTCTTGGCGAAATAGTTTGATACGTTTAAGTTGGGTCGGACATGATGAATCTTCATTATATTTTATATAAAAACGTCTCCTATTAGCCTTATAGTCTCTTAGCTTTAAGATAATCGATGTGTATTTAAGTATTTTCTTTCACCCCGTTCACTAAAATTATAAGTTTTATAAGATTAAAACGGTCTATATATACATATATATTTTTTCATTCTATTATCTTGTGAAAACTAAATATGTGTTTAATGATATTTGTTGAAGGGTCACCACCTGCGAGGCCGTATATCGTAACCTAAATTAGGGAGTACCAAGGGCAAAAAAAGTATATCTACTCAAAGAAGGAAGCAGAATGTCCGGTCAGGAAGACAACCCAAACCTATATTCCTGCATTTTTTATTAAAGTAAATTAATAACATTATTTAGTTTCAAACCAATTAGGTACGACAACAGAAAAAAAGGGGAAAAAAGATTGTGACCATGACTAGCAGTAAATATTAACTTTAAATCGCTCATTATTCAAAGACTTTTGTGATAACTTCTCTCAAAATGTCACCCACAGGAAGAGAACAATAGACTGATTTACTAACATATTCGAATTTATGGATGTTTCTTTCCTAGGGACCTAGTGACAAGTTACTCCATTAACTTGTTTCTAATGGGCTTTAATACTTGGAATCATTTTGATATGTCGGGAAAGCCTCTGGCAAGCTTTCAGGTTGTTAAGAATAACCTATGTTTAAAATGTATGCTTAACATTTTGAATATGTTATAAGTAACCCGGTCTATTCGATAATAAACACAACATTTCACTAAGATTGAGCATGTAGGAGTTGTATATGTGGCACGTTCTGCACTCTTACTACCGGGAGGTCAGTGGTTGTTATACCCATTCCATTCACGCCAGCTGTGAATCATGTGGCAATATTCAGATGATGACATGTTTGGCAGCTCACAGACAATCATTATTCATCATCGCGAGCTTAGATGGTTGCCTTGGTTGTTCCGATCTTGGGACGACGGAGAACGCTACGGCAGACGTTCAGAGTCATCAGGAGATATGATGAATGTATGATAGGTGGCAGGACCGGATTTATTTTATTTCTTAGAGGGTCGCCTTTTCTCATCGGAATAATCTTCCCCGGGATAATCTTAAGCCCCCCTTTTTCAAATGACAGGGGAAGAGAAGACCCCTCCGATCCCGTGTGCCACTCTCTCATATCACTCTCGCTACCCCACCCCATCTCTCTCTCTCTCTCTCTCTCTCTCTCTCTCTCTCTCTCTCTCTCTCTAGCTATCTATCTATCTACCTCGCCCCTCGATCCCCTCTCCAGCTCTCTCATCCCCCTCATTCTCTCATCTTCCTTTACCACCCACTTCCCCTCTTCTAATCTCATAACTGGGGTTTACCGTATAGCCCATTTGAAATTACTGAATTATATCTCACGTCACATATTATGGTCGAGTTCAAATTAGTAGCTTCTTCATCAGGAAACAGATCACTAATTCAGGTTAATTAGAGAGCAATTAAAACGTGCAGTGTTCTGTGTCCTCCCTTCATAACAGAGTTGAAAGAGGGGAACACTCTTTTCTCCCAAATAATGAAATCACAGTGGTTACAAATTTAGAGCTTCAAACTCAAATGAAAATTGTCGATTCCAAACGATATTCCTTTATGTAGTTATTAATATAAATTATGAACATAATTATTGGGTATTTACAATTCCCATTGTATTATGAAGTGCTAAAGGCATCACTGGAAAAGTTTTGAAAGAATTTAATATGGGCAGAATAATTTGTCTAAAGGAAATATGAATGAATTCTTTGCTTAAATTAATCTTAATGAAGCGTCATAATAAAATATTTTCAGGATCCATCTTTTCAAAAATGTATTGTGGCTGAAATTGAAATACAGGTAGGACCAATACTGGGATGTTCCCTCAAAATTACGATCGATAATTATGTATATCACCCCACTATACCGAGTTATACTTTTACATGCTATCGTCTATATTACATTACACCCTTGTTTGTTTGTATTTTGTTTCATTTCAATACGGTGTTTAAAAAAAATTGATATCAGCCGCAAGGTTGTTTTTTAATGGATAATCAGTGACCGTAGAGGTGTGAAAAAGTGTGACGTCCTTGAGACTGATTTTCCTAAATTAGAATTTTGATTATTCTTGTAGGTTAACACTTCAAATGATGTAGTCAATAAAGTTGCGTATAAACACTCCTTTGCCATGTCAGCTTAGCATAACAAATGAATTTATATCACAATATGACTACAAAAAATACACGCTCTCGAAGTATTTGATTATGAATTTCTATATACTTTGTTCGCACATTTCGAGGTCAATGTTTTGAATGAAAAGTCGTTGTCTTGCGGCATTTGAAAGTATCATTAACATTTTTGTGTATATCATCTGATTGATCTATTCATTTGAGCTTCTGCTAAAATGTCAGATAATGAGTGTACAAGCAAATATTTTTCCATTGAAAACCCAAATAATTAAATGAAACAATCTGTAAAGGCACAGCTGAAAGAACGCGAGTTGTTGTTGAGAGCCATTGGTAAAATATTGTGCCGAACGTAATCATTGTATCCATTAGGACAATTGAATCTCGCTTTGTTTTTTTCTGTCATACAAGTAGTTTTGATTTCTAAGCAATATTTTCAATCACGAATTTAATGAATCAAATGTTAATTGTCCCATGGAGTGATAAGCTTTTATCGTGACTCAAGACCACTAATTTGTAAAAGATTTTAGCATCCTTGTTTTCAGGTAAATAAATAATAATAATAATAATAATGATTCAATATTTATAAAGTGCATAATTAAACAAAAGTTCCTCTATGCGCTGTACAAGCATGAATGACGAGAAATATAATCACATAAAAGGAATCAACAAATTGAAATATACAAATCTTATAACTACTAAAATGACTAACTTAACATAGTAAATAACATAATAAAGAGATAGCTAACATGGTCAAAACAAATAACGTAAGTAAGGATAGTTTAAGGTAATTAATTAATGCCAAAGAGGTGCGTTTTTAGTAAAGATTTGAACGTTGAAGAAGTGGGTGCACTGTCGTATGAATTTTGGATAGACGTCGTTACCTTTAATATATAGGAGCTTGTATTTGCTCCATTCACCCATCCGTCCACCTTGTTAACGCACCATGCATAGGGGTCAGCTGACACCTCATCATTACTCTCAATTGGGTTCATCCACACTCTCTCCTAAACTCCCCGAGTGCATGGATTGCTATTTTAATCTTCGCAGGGATACACCCGAGCTATATATAAACCAGGCCGGGTATGTATAGATTTAGTGAATATCAAAGTGATAATAACATCAACGATCAACAACCTTGATGACATTTCAAATGTGTGAACGGAACTAGTTTATGCAAGCCGGTTGGATAATGTTAACACCCCTACTTGTTCCGATTATGTCGTAGGCCTATTAGTGAAATGTTTCGGATATATAGCGATTGTGAGAGTAGTAATCAGGGGCTTAATAGGAAGAAGAAAATGATAGTGGTGAACTGAAATAAGAGTAATATATATTTTTTAAAGTTTAGTGAGTATAAATGGAAAACAAGAAGCGATAAAGAATTGAGCATTACAATTTTACTACACGTATCTCCTAAAATATTTTTAACCACATTTCTCAAAGTGATGATGCACAACAAATTTTCAGAGGGATTGAAAGAATTTTTCTAATGTATAATTAAGGTAAGCATTAGAGCTTTGCTTTGATGTGTTATCTTAACAATGTTGTTTTACTATATCTCCATAATCATTATCATTATCATTATCATTATTATTATTATTATTATTATAATTATTATTATCATTGTTATCATTATCATTATCATTATTGATATTGTTGTTGTTGCTGTCGCTGTTAGTGTTATTATTATTTTATTGATTTTATTGATAACAAACACAGAGGGCTTATTATAAAAGTATGCCTGCTATCAATTCATTTTACTTTTTTATCTCCATAAACAACCAAAGGTCATCGTTATGACATAAGCTTTCAACATTCAACCCGTCTACTAGCTAAAACTAGCCACTTTTTTATGTCCACAGTTAAGTTTTTATTCCTCTCAAATTGTAATAAATATGCATAACTAGCTTAGATCGTTCGGTGCAAAATGAGCTTAATAAAGATGCGATTAAGCGTATAACACTATTTACTCGTGGCGCCGCGCCGGCATGTTGCTGGTATATGTCATTCAGTGCACGTGATCTCCAATACACAGAGTGGATGGCGTGGCACTGATCTTATTATTTTAGTGCACCCAGTGTTTTGGGCTGTTGTTTGTATGGCATGATCATGTTTCATCAGGCTTTCCTTTTCTAGTAAGTTTTTGTTTATAACATGATGTGAATTCCATAGATTTTGACCGATACTAGAACGTACCAAAGCTTTTAAATAGGCCTATCTACAGTGCGTATAAAACATACTAAATTTCAGTAGCATCTTCTGAAAATGTAACCCCCTTTAAAAGTAAACTAGTATTGTGTGTAATGACAACTTACTCATGATCTTAAACACCATGGTAAGTATTCTACCAAAGTTATAACCGATCCTGGGTCTAAGATCACGTATAACAAAGGGAAATTTAGACTAATTTTCTTTGTTAATATTAACAACAGTTTAAGCCCATTGTCGGATTTATATTTTAGTAGAATACGGTCCAATAGTTTTTAAAAAGCCTTGTCAATTACTTTTTGCATCAACACGTGTTTTTTTCTTGCGTTTCCGAAGTCGTTAAGGCTAGTAAGCCTGCCGTTTATA